AAAAGCAAAAATATAATAAAAGGTTATCAACTGCCTTCCCTCTAAATGGAATTCTAGCTACGCCCATATACTACACAAATAACTTAAAATATATAACATTTTTTTCTAAATAAAACACAGCTTACGGGGGGGGGGGGGAGAGGAGCGCCGCTCCCCATTGAATCCGCCACTGCGACCAAGTATTCCAGAAAATAAGCTTAACAGATCCAACTTTCAAGGAACAACATGCAGCTTAGTGTCAATACTCATTTAAATTTAAAATTATTTATTTATATAATAATTAATTGATTTTTCTATCTTGTAAAAAAACATAGGTACCAAGTAGTAGGTACTACTATAATCAATAAAATAAAATAAAATAAAAACAGTATTATTTTAATATTTTTATCGTAGCTATCACAATTTAAAAAAATGTATTATTCTAGTTTTTTAAATAATTTTTAATGTAAAATAAATGACATATTTTCAAACATTCAGATTGAATGTTCATAAGTCATAACTTCATAAGCAAACATTTTGAAAAAAATTGAATAATATGGCTGCTTATATGCTGAAAATTCGAAGACTGTTAGCATTAAATACTCAGAAATAGTACACCTGAATGTTTTTCAGCAATAAAATCAAAAATTTGAGAAAAAAAGTATTTTACTTAGTACCTTACCCAATAAAATTTTAGATATTATTGTATATCTTGTAAATATACAATAAAATATTCTTAACATTGGAGGATTGCATTTCCCTTTCTTTTCCTCTCGAACACATTCATTAATTTAAACTTTATCCTAGCTAAGAGTTATTTCTTTTCTTCAAGAAGACGCCGTACCCGCATGTGTTGTCTCCTGGTAAATTTTTATTCATCAGTTTCAATAGTGTGTTTTTAGTTTTGATATTGGAGTGAATTATTGTCCTATTATCAAACTTTTAATTAAGAATATTACCTGTATTCTCTCGTTGGTTTTTCACGATATTTTAATTTTTAAGTAAGTTATAAGTAAAGCGCGGATTTTTATGCACTTAAAAGTATCGAAGTATGCCATATAATATGCAGTCAAAATATGAAAATATGCAAGAATTTTTTATTTATTTAAAATTTACAATAAAACTTATAATAATTAATTACTTAAATACTTAATAATAAAAAATTTAGGGAATTTTCTAAACTTAATTTATTTTTAAAATTTTATTTATTATTAAAATGAATAATCATATGCATTTCAAGTTTTTCTTCTGTGAAGCTGTATCGTTTATCGGTTAACATATTTTTAAAAACTGAGAACGAACGTTCGACGTCAACCGAAGTTATTGGGGCATATTTGAAGCAATTTAGTATTGTCAGATCTTAATAAAGATCTTCGAGCTGAACGTTTTCGCCTAATAACACTGAATTAATTTTTCGTAGAATTTTCAGACCTTCATTTTTATTGGAAAGCTCGTTTAATTTTGTTGTAAGTGTTACACCTTTCTATCCAGAAATAGAATGCATTTTTTCTTTCGTTTCGTCAATTATTGAAAAGCTTAGATGTAAAGTTATATTTCGAGTTTTCAGTTTTTTTTTATGACTATCATTAAAAATGTCAAATGAGTAGATATAAATGTTAAATCATTCTACTTGTCAAAATATTATCTTATACATTTTTTTAAATTTTCGCTTCAATATGCAATAACCTTTAAATATGCAGAAATATGCAAAAACAATTTCACCATTAGCTTCAAATTATGATGATTCGTGGAGATATAACTGACAAAAATCCAAAAATATTAAAAGGAAAAAAATATGCAATTGCATAGAAATCCGCGCTCTAGTTATAAGTATAAAAAACATGAATATTTGAAAATGCTCTGAATGCTCATAATTCACTGGTCGTACGAGCTAGTCGCTACTCGGTTTTTAGTTTCGTCGTCCTGCGCGCGGCGTACAACGGTCGTGGCGGCGGCAGTAGCTGCTCGTTCAAAAACCGTCACGATCACAACATACGCCCCTGTTACATGTGTACCGATCTTTCGCGAACGGTACCGCTTATAACGCGTTTTCATAACGTTCATAGTACGTTGCTAGAACGTTTATAACGCGTTTTCATAACGTTTGTAATGCGTTATATTTATATTTTTCATACTCATAACTTACATAAAAATTAAAATATCGTAAAACACCAAAGAGAGAACACAGATAATGTTCTTAACTAAAAGTTTGATAATAGGTCAATTTGCTTTAATATCAAAACTAAAAGCACACTATTGAAACTGGTGAACGAAAATTTACCATGTCGTACGTGTGTATGACGGAGACAACACATGTGGGTACGACGTCCTCTTAAATCATTATTATACTAATATTTACCTAAGTAATATATTATATTTATTTAAATTTTTTCCTTGAAGTCACTTATTTTATTATACATTAAAAATATTCACAATTCAAATCAAAGTTTGATTACTAAACTTTAAACCATTATGACATATAAAAGAAGTATTCCAAAATTGTAATTGTTTACCAGTGAATTCAGATCAAATAAGTTATTATTTGGTTGTAGATCACATTCTTTAATTTTAATTTTTATCTTTTTGGCATTTTTTAAAACCGGTGGTAAAAGTGCATTTTTTAAAATAGTAGAAAATTCATTAAATTGTTTAAACAGACGGCTGTAATAAAAACAGAATGCATAAAGGAGTTAAAATTAATTGATTAATTTCAAAGTAATATAATTATAGCGAATACTTTCTAAGTCCATATATGTGATGAAGATCATAAGGATCGTGCAATGAGTTTGATATTTTGGAATTTTTGGTTTCCAAGTGCTTGACATGGTCATCGTTAGCCACCAAATCGTTGTTCAAGTTTTGTAGCTCGAGTGTCTTATGAAAACGACTGGATGTCGGGCTCAATGTTACAGTCCTCCTGCTTACCTCGCTGTTGATCGTGCTGGCTATAGACTCGTCCGATTGTACAGAGTTTCTGGCAGCATCGCCGTCTATCGATGACTTTTGCGACATTTTAATGGTTGGTGAGCCACTACCAATAGTATTGAATCACTGTCACTAATTAATTATTCGAAAAAAAAAAAACAGAGACGGGAAAAATTATAGTTTTTCATCAAATAATTAATACCAAAATATACTAAGTCGTTAGAGAGTAGATACTGAGCGACTAGAGGACGTACGGTGCCTAAATAATGATGAAACCGGAGAAGACCAAAAATACAGGTGAGCCAGTATCAAAGTATAAAATGTCTCGTTCCAAATTTGTTAAAATTTATTTTCAAATTCAAATATCATTGTACGACTCTAAAATTAAAAAAAAATTACTCATAGTTGTTTTTTCCTAGAAAAACGTAAGATAATATAATAGTCGACAAACATAAGAGATTACATTGTTTCAAGTAACAAACTATCTACAAAAGTTGTATATCTTTGATTTATAAAAACGTGGTATTAATCTATGTATCAACATTTTAGAAGAATATTTAACTTGATCTAGTGTCGAGTTTATCGTAGAACAATTTTACCTTAGTGGAAAGTGTTCATTCAGCCATTAATTGATTGACAAAACGTGAATGAAAGTAAAACATTTAGAAATTTTTAAATCTCATTTGCGAGTAGTTTTTTCAGTTTTTTGGGTAAACTATGAGAGATTGGTCTGTAGACCATAGATGTAAGAGATTAAAATTATCACTTCATCAACACCTTTCTTACATTTCTTTAAATGTTAACTAGTACGAATGTAAAGAAATTCATTAATACACATTATATAAATTTAGTGGACTGCTGGGAAATTCCAACGTAGGCTCATACAAAAATTGTTGTGTAAAATTTAACTAAATATTTAAATTAATTAATTATTTAATGTAAATAAAATTAATTAATGTTCAATACCATCTAGAGTTAAATTTAGTCATCTATTAAAATTGTGTATTGATTTAACAAAAATATATTTAATAAATTACCTATCATATATTTATAAATACAAAACATAAATATTCTTTAATAGTTAATTAAAATATTTGATTGTTATACTGGATTCTTTAACTAGATGCGTATGTTATAAAGTAGGAAGTAATTATAATAATAGTTAAAAAAATTAAAGAAATTAACTTTTGAATTATCTATTTAATAATTAGGTACCTTTGTTTACTATAGTAACTAGGTATATTAAGACTGAACTACTTGGGTAACGACATAACGTTGAATTTATACATTTTATCCATATTAAAACCTATATTGTAAGGCAGGACTTGTAATAATATTATAAATGTCAAATAATTGTCAAAAAGAGATGTTTACATTCATGTTAATTTGCTAACTGCATATTATTATTAATCTTTGTTTTATCAATATCTGTATTAGGTACCTAATCAGGTAATATGCAATATCTCAAATATCTGTATGACTGTATTTATGTTACACAACTACACAAGGGACTGATTTAACTCGAAGTGAATACCCTAAGTAGGAGACAGGATTTGAGAAAAATCTAATTAAAAACGTTAACTATTGAAAAGTTAAGTCTCGCGATGGGACTAGATTTTTTCTACTAGGTTTATTTTCAAATATAATATATAAATTATGTGAAAATGAATTATATTATTTTAATACTTAATGTAAATAATTATAACACTGTTATTTGTTAATATTAATAACTGGTATTGTAATATTTGTAATTAAAATAGGTATAAATAATTCCGTAAAAACAAATGAAGTTCTAAAAAAAGTATTATATTATAGGTACAATTATAAACATACATTTAAATATTTTTTATTTGTATTTTTTACTTTTTAGAGCAACAATAATATTATTATACATTTATAACTAAACAAGTACCTTTAGTTATTTATATTTAATAAAAATAAATATATTTAAATTGTTAAATGTAATTGTTTTCTTTATAAACATTTTAAATTACCTAAACATATAATATTATTATTATTATTATAGTTCTGTGGCGTCGACTGATTGATAACAACTCTACACGTGATAACATTTATGACTCGTTAACAATGTTTTTGATTACGATAGCTGATCAAATCAACCGTTGCCCTCAACAGGCCTGACGTGAAAATGCTATTATTCTCACTGTTATTTATTTTTCGTTGCTGACTGTTGAGTTTATCTGTCGATTTTCCATACGTCACTGACGATAACGCACTGTAAGTACTAAGTCTGAGTAGTCACATTACTTATCTGTTGTTTCTTGTAATAATAATATACAATCGCTTTTATTTTTCAGCGGTTTCGGCGTCCATGATATTTCCGATAATAATTGTTGTAACAGTTGTGTAGTAACAACAAACGTTTCGACAGTGGTATCTCAGAATTGTATTCGTGGCATGGCACCACGTCCCGTGTGTAGAACCTACTGTTCTCTGCAATAAACAATATTAATAATTAACTTTGTTTGTCGTCGTCGAAAATAAACGCTTTTTACTTCGAACTCAGTAGATAGTAGGTACAAACAATCATGTTGAAAGCCGTGATATTAATCGGTGGCCCGTCTAAAGGTAAATATTATAATATTTTTACTCCACCACATATATTCATTGTGATTTTGTTATCAAATCTTTGAATTGTTACAGGCACCCGATTCCGGCCCCTTTCATTGGATGTACCTAAGCCGCTGTTCCCCGTAGCTGGCTTACCTGTTGTTCAACATCACATAGATGCATGTTACCGCTTGGGCCAAAAACGGAGTCAAATTCCCGAAGATGACAGTAATAGCAATGTCGGCAAGTATTGTGTCGCTGAGGTGCTTTTATTGGGATATTATGGGGACGACGAACTTTCAGACTTCTTACTTACTGCTACTCAGAGCTATCCATCTCTGCGAATTAGGTACTGTTTTGTCAACTAATACTTCATCACAAACATATTATTGTGTTTCTTATGTTTTTTGTTTTGTGTTAATTCTCAAACAATTGTGCTGTTTATAGGTATCTTCGCGAACCTGATGCTTTGGGCACAGCTGGTGGCCTGTATCATTTTCGTGATACGATTCTTGCTCCATTAGACAATAGTGGTAGTGAACAAGTGCAAGCATTTTTTGTAATGAATGGTGATGTTTGTGCTGACTTTCCATTAGATGAGATGCTTAACATGCACTTCAATAACAATAGTCATCAGTCACAGCACCAACAAAAACAACCAGTGCTAATCACTGTCATGGCTACTGAAACCACTCGTCAACAATCTGTTCACTATGGTATGTTATTTAATATATTATTAATATTTATGTGATTGAATAATTTAATAACCAAAATAATTTGTTGTTATTCATTTTGTCTTTAATCAATTATCTATACTTGTATAGGTTGCATGGTTGTAGACAAAGAAACAAATATCATACAGCATTATGTTGAAAAGCCATCTACATTTGTTTCAAACACAGTGAATTGCGGTGTTTATTTGTGTTCTCCACGGCTATTTGACACTATAGCAGATATTCATTTAGAAATGTTAAACAGTAATGGAAATGGTAATCAACAGCATACTACCAGGTATACTACTTGGTAATAGGCAAACACAGTAAGAATTTATAAGTTCTTTAATTTACAAGTGAATTTTACTCTATTTACAGCAATAATAAAAATAATAATAACCAACAGCAGCAACAAAAGCCGACTGAAGAACGAGTTGCTGCTGCTATGGTCATGTGGATGGAGCAAGATGTACTACGTAGGTTGGCAGGGGAATCTGGAAGCAGTTGTAGTAGTATTAGTAGTGGTGGTGATGGGAGTGGTAGAACAAAGAAAGATGCGATTCGTGGTGGAGTGGTACTTGCAGCAACTACTCGTAACTGGTGGTCTCAGTTGAAAACTGCTGGTGCAGCAATCTATGCAAATCGTCACTACTTAGCATTGCGCCAACAAAGACAGCGATTACTTCAACGAGAGTCAGTAATTGATTTGCCTTTGCCTTCACCAGTAAAATGTCGATTGGCAACTGCAGATCCTAAAGGTGGATATTCGACAATTGGGAATGTGTATGTTCATCCATCTGCTCAAGTGCACCCAACTGCATTAGTTAGTACTTTATTTTTTATTTATTCTATTTTATAATATTTTACAAAATACTATCAATTTCTCAAAAAGTCTAGTAAATTAGCAGTAATTTAATTTGTAGTATCTATATTAACATTGTTTTTTTTTTATTATTAATAGCTGGGTCCAAATGTAAGTGTAGGGGAAGGAGCGTGTATTGATCAAGGTGTACGTATCAAGGAGTCTATTGTGCTACAAGATGCTGTAATTGGTCAACATAGTTTGGTAATAAAATACTCTATTAATATTGAAAAAAATATTTTAATATAAAAATTTATTTGAAACCAATATGTTGCAATTAATTGTTTAATTAATACAATTGTACAATGTATATAGGTAATATAGGTAGTTAATAATTAGGTGTTTTAAATGCATTTCTTTTTTTGTAAATTAATATTGTTATTTTTTTTGGATATTGTGTGTTAACCACATTACTATATAATATATTATATTCAAAAAAATTTTCTTCTTAAAATGATCAGCTTTAGTATTGTACTAAATTTAAGATTCAGTGTTTAAGTTTTAATATTAAATCAATTAATTTTTTAGCTAAAATAAAAATAATTTATTAAAGGCACATAAAACATCTGTCATTTTAAATTGGTAATTGGGTTAATTATCAATGTTTAGAAAACGTTTAATTGAACTGTATATAATTATAATAATGTACTTTTTTTAGTTAGATATCACATTTAAAGTATTTTACAAATTAATGTACTTAGGTGATGCACAGTATTATTGGTAGACGTGCTAAAGTTGGTGCCTGGTGCCGTGTAGAAGGTAGCGCAGCGTGTTCAGATCCTAATCCTAATGTTGCTTATGCCAAAATGACACCTCAGCTGCCTTTATTTAACGCCTTGGACGGTCGGCTCAATCCATCTATAACTATACTTGGTTGGTTTTGTTTGTATAATCATTATTGCATTATTAAATAATTACTGTCATTATTTAGGTTGTGGAGTCAATGTCGAATCTGAGGTGGTGTTATTGAACAGCATTGTGTTGCCTTACAAGACTTTAACCAGAAGTTATAAAAACGAAATAATACTGTGATCATTGCATAGTTGAATAGACTTATGCAATAGGAATTAAGACAAAATAAACACATATAACAATGATCTAGGATATTTTGGCGTTACCGTTGATCAATATTTCAGTTCTTTCAAATAATTTATTATTGTGTCTAATATCAAAGTTAATTTGAAATCAAAATAGAATTTATATTAAGTTGATGTGTTAAAAATAATTATTTTAACGAAACATCAAACATTATTTACAATATCTCTTAAAAGTAATAAGTGGTTTTTTGTACGATTTAATTGAATTTTCTCAATTTTATATTAGGCTGTTTGCAAACATTGTGAGCACTTACTAAAGATGTGTTTTTAAATTATATCAAATGATACCGAACTATCAAATGATTTGCAAGTTTAACTTTTATTGTCACAATGTAGATAACACTCGACCTTTCTTGTCTGACATGATTTCGTCTTTAATCATATTCCAATCATAAATGAATACTGTACCATATAAATTATTTGAATGTCCTTAAAGAATTTTGTTATTCCTTAGTTACATTTTTACACCAATTTTTTGATTTAAAATTAACTGTAATATTTAACAAAATAAATTCTTTAAATATCTTTTAAAAATATTGGTTGACGCCAAAACGCCCGTGTTCAGTATAATAATTATCAAACTTATTAATGATAAATAAATAAATTATTATGTACTATTATTTATTATTATAAATATGAATATTTATGAAAATATACTTTTATTTTATTTCTTTATTTTGTTAGTTATGGACTATATTATTTTTAACTGTTATGTAAACATATTTTTGCATATTACCGTTACATAAACATTTTTTAATAAATTATAATTCAAATGTATATTTTTACAATTTTTTTTTTATTAGTTATAATTTGTTATTTCTTTACTTGCGACATTAAACAGTCAAAATTCAAGAAATGTAAACTTTCTAAGTAAGTTTTTGTAAAATTGTGTTTGATGTATCTAGCGTTTTAGGTTTAACAATTTTAATGTTTTTGAATATTTATTTAAGCAACATCCCTCAAAATTTTCTTTTAAACATAAATTTGTATAAACAGTGTAATATAAATATTAATCTTTTTATACCAACTAATAAAAAATCATCATATCTTAGAATCGGTCAGAACTGTTTAATTATTGTTAATATTAATTAATATATTGAATAAACTGGCAAGGAAAATTGATTTCAACATAAGAGTGCATAGTGCATTGAATAATAAGTATGTCTCACCAATGATAAATTCTTTAATTGTAATTAAATTTGTTTCCAATTTGGTTTGGTCCTCAAAAATATTTTGTTAAATGGAAGTTTGTTCTATTAAAGTTTCATTGTATTGCTTAAAATTAGCACAATATTTTTTGTACAGCTATCATTTTTTTGATAGGACAATATTATATTTTACTATGTATTATTATGTTAAAACATTTGTTAAAAGATCTTGTTAGTTTATGTGATCACACTTTCAGGCTAGACAATATACTTGAGAGATGTCATAACATTGTTCAAAAATCTTAGAAACTATTATAAGTTATACATTGTAAAAGATTAATTTTTTTTTTAAGTTAAATATACTACAGTAGAATTTAATTAATCTGATGAGCTGATAATTTATAATCTCACATAAATGGATTTATGTGATAGTAATTCATCTGAAATTTCCAGAAAACAAATAATTTAGGAAGTGAGTTGTAATCGACAATTTTGATATTTTTATTATTTTAAATTAGTTTTATATTAAAGTTACGGTATTATCACGTTAAATATTCTACATTCTTTGAAGGATTAATAATTTGATAATTTAAATTATTCTTAAAATTAAATAAAAAATGATAACATTTAAAAATTATTAGGAATATGTAATTAACTTTTATGAGAAACAATCAATGAAAAGTTGAAAATAAAACAATAACTTAAAAATTAAAAGATAAGTAAAGTATAAAATGTGACAAATCATTAAACAACTTAATTTAGGTTTTAATAATAAATTAAAACATAGATTATTGATATATTTAATCTTGAGATTATAAATTGTATAGAAATACAATCCTAATGTCTCGGGACAATATATTATATCATAAGAAATAATAATAGCATACATATTAGACAGGTCAAAATTATAAGCAAAAAACACGATGACTGGAAGAAAATACCTCCAAAAGCTTCTCCAAAATGATTTATATGAATTCTAAAATCAATAATAATTAGAGTTTTTGACAACAATTAATTTGATACTCTATATAATTCTTTAAATTTTTAAGAAAATGTCTTAGTTTTTACCATTTTAAATGTATTTGGATCGGGTAATACACAAATGAAATGGATAATAAGTGTATTTTGTAATTAATACTATATAAAATAGCTTACATAAATATATACATATTTTAAGGTCAGTAATTATAAAGTGCCTATTGCGAATAAAAAATTTACAAAACCCTTATTTATTATTTAATTATTTGGTATAAACCAAATTGGTATGCACATTGCATAATTAACTTTATAAATAATTTCATAAGCACACATTTATTTTAGTAAATAATTTAAATATAAATCTACACCATATACATCACAGATTTATAAAAAGTAAAATATCTTTTGTGGCACTTATGACTTGAAAGATATTCGTCTCCTCAGTATCCATCTAGACCATTGTATAATTTATTGATCGAGTTATCGCCCAATATTCTTTTGAGATCTGGAAAATAAACATATGAAATATTAAATGTAATAAATTCTGTTATATTATTTTAGCTGGTAATTTATTGAAATAATTTAATTATATTTTAAAATCATAATGGTAATTTTTTAATTTCTGTGATTGACATTACATTTTGTATGCAACTTGATTTTAAACATAATAATATTTTAACTAATCTTGCCATAAATAATAATAAAGAGGATGTTATATATTCTGTGTGTGTTAGCTCTGTCTTAGAAAAAAATAAAACAACACATCAAATTTGTGATTAGTAAAACTATTTGTGTATTATTACCTTTTATAATAGGTCAATTCATTCTAATATTAAAGTTAATAATACTAATTAGTTTTACTGAACAACAATTTGCAATATTATATTTTTATAAGATAAAAACAACCAGTGGGTGACTTCTTCTTCATGTTTTCTGGCTGTAATCTTAATTTTGTTAACACTTAAGCTTATTATACATAATTTGTATAAATTGTTAAACTCAAAAAAAAAAAAAAAAAAAAAATAATAACAAGTATGGGAATAATGTCTTCTTTAGAACATTTTATATTACATAACTTATATTGGTATTTATTATTATCATGGTAAAAAAGAGTTTTTTTAAATCTTTAATTTATGAATTTTGGTTTAGTTTTTATAAACTAATTGTATAGAAATTAAGGAGCAAGACTAGGGAAGTTGCTATTATTTTGCATTAAACAATTATAGTTGAGCCAGTTTGGTTTATCAAGCTGTTGACAGATATTAAATTTTATTATTACTCGATAGATGACAGTTTTGATAAATTGCCTTCTCTTTACTTAGTTATGTCAAACGTATAATATAAAATGTATAATATATATTTAAAATCTGGTATTATTGTTAAATAGTTAATATTTAATGCAATTTCAATTAAAACAAATATTAAGGTTACCTTCTTTATCTTGTTCAGTGAAGTTAGTTTTAGGAAACTGGACGTCAATAGTGATGATGAGATAACCATGTTGATTATTGTTTTCATAGTTAGGCATACCTTCACCCTTTTTACGAATTTTTGCTCCAGGCCAGGTTACAGTATTTCGTTCTATAAGAATTTTACGACCATCTAATTGGGTTATCTCAGTTTGGAAGCCAATTAATGCGTCCTATAAATAAATTATTTATTAGAATTAATTGATGACACATATTGTTTAAACTTAATACATATTAATTTTATTTATTATACAGTGAAAAAAAAAATGTTTACAAAGAGCCAAAGCAATGTATTTATTTTAATTGTGATATGACTAAATCGTTCATTACATTTTTTTTTTTAAACTCAATTGAAATATATTTTGAATGATATATAAGGCTTAAGACTCAAATAAAAAATTTTAATTAAAAAAAAAAAAAGTATAAATGTTATAATATAGTATAGTAAATAATATAATACATTATAATACTTTCAAGTTTTATTTTATCATAATTTATAAATATTTTTAAAATTTCATATTTATAATGCACAAAAACTATCAAATTCAATATAATAACCTAGATATAAAAGAAATATATTCCCTTGAATCATTTTCATTAAATAGTTTTATAAGTATAAATTAATACTTGTCTTAAGTACCCGTAAAGAAATAGTTAGATTAGTGTATAAATCGTCTCCTCTCCTTTCAAAAACTGAATGAGGTGATGTTTTTATTTTAAAAATAAGATCGCCTGGTTCTCCATCAATATGCGGTTCTCCTTCTGCTGTAAACTTGGTTTCTTGGCCATCTTTCATACCCGGTTCTATTTCTATTTCTAACATATTTTCTTCGGTAACCATTCTACAATAAAATTTTAAAATATTATGTTTAAGAGTATTTTTAGATTGTAATAATATGAAAGTTAAGTTTTGAAAACTTATAGGAGTTATAAAATTTTTATTAAAAAAATAATAATTTACTTCACATTGGGACATTCATCACAAACATTTTGTTGCATCATTTGAAACCTTCCTGGCCCCAATTGTTTAGTGATCATCTCTTGGCGACAATTACATTGTCTTGTACCATGAGCTGGTTTTATAACAGGTTTGTTTCTTGTTACCTAAATAATACAATTATATTTATGATTATAAAAATAATATTTTATAAACTAAGGAAATGATTATATATTTTTACCTGTACAAAGTTTCCATTGTATAATTCTTCTAAAGAAACATGCAAGTCAAGAACTATAGTTCCACCTTTAGGAATTTCTTTTTGTCCAGGTGATTCATCAAAATGAAAACCAAAGTCTCCAAAGAAACTAGCAAACGGATCATGACCAGCAGCCATATTGTCCTTTTTAACACACTGTTCACCACATCTATCATAGTCTTTACGCATTCTTTCATCAGATAATACTTCATATGCGTTTCGTAACTTTGAAAATTTTTCTGAAGCTTCTGGATCATCTCGATTTTTATCTGGATGAAGCTGTTTAGCCATTTTCCTAAATGCTGATTTAATATGATTCTGC